TGTTAGCTTAGTTACAATTTTATTATTCACAGAGTCCTTTGGCCTCAAGCCAATAATACTCTGTAAGTATGGATTTACTGGAGCTGTTTCTTCCTTTTGTTTCTCACTTTGCAGAGAGTTTGACACTAGAATTGCTACCTAGCTAGCTGGCATGTAGCTGAAGGTGTAGAGAAGAAAGGAGGGAAGTTCAAAGCTGATAAAGCAGCTCAAGAAAACGAAACAGTAGCAACAGATTATGAGCTGTACGCCGTCTGTTTTCTCAAGACTGTGAATAAAATTAATAAATAACTGTTAATTATTGTTTAACCTGAGACATTCATTGTGTCTCGAGTGAAGAAAAAGAAGAATTTTGATATCAAAGTTGAGATTAAAAATAGAGTAACAGACTACTTTTTTTTCTCACATTGCTCACGTTTTCTTCTTCTTTTTCTTCCTCCCATCATTATTACTATTTGTAGTAGTCATAGAAGTTTGAAGAGGTGTGTTTACATTTTATAAGACCAACTAGTTTTCATCAAAAGCTTATACGCATGAACACACACATATGCATATACGCTGTTTGTGATTGAGACCCACTCTGTATCCATGGCTGACTTGAGTGTTATTAATTAGCTCTCCATCTATACCTACAAGAAATCACAGTCTATTTCACCAAGAAGTGCAGATGACCTTTGAGTGCTTTCTGGAGTGGATTTAGCTGGTAGGTTCAAGTATCCAACCAAACTGGGCAATTCCACTTTTACTGGTTTAATCCACTCAGATCCAGTTCTAGTGTTAGACTACTCTAATTTGCTTAGTTAGGTTCCAGTTTTAGGCCATTCCAAAGTGGTAGGTGGTAAGTCTTCTGTGTAAGTCTTGGCAATTCAGAGTATTTGCCATTTGACAGCCATTTTGGTCACACCTCTGGGGTGTTATTTGGGTAGTTATTTTTAAAGGCCAGAGAGTCATATCTTTAATTTTCGTATTTACTGGGACATAGAAGTTGCATCTACTGAGACGCCAGCCAAATCAGGTTAGAAAACATTGCAAGATATCATATACACAGCTACAAGACATTATGACTTAATTTGAAGCTCAGTTCTCAGTGCCAACACGGTCCATCTTTATGGCTGAAGCGTTCAACAAATGCCGTGCTAATTTAAATTCTGAATATGGTCAGCCAAGAAAAACAATGTCTTTGCTGCAAATGGCAAGCATATCTAACCACCACAGGGAGCATATCTATCCTGCCACCACAGAGTTTAAACAGTTCTGAACCTTTGCTGTGCACATGCATCAGTGCAGCAACACGATTGGCTCCAATGTTCCCCAGTTCAACTGTTGATTGGACGTTTTGGTGACAGGGGCAGAAATGTTACAAAATTCCCTCATAGATTTCTATTTCTCTTTATCTCATGATTTCTCTGGTTACAATTTCAGTGTCAGACTAAGTGACTAAGTGACTTTCCGTCAGTCAATTTTATATTAGGCGCCAGTCTAAATTGGTCAGTGTTATTATGAGACAGGTGCAAACCTGCCAGCTCCAGTTTGAAGCGTCTCAACTTGTCAGCTTTTTGTTGCTTGTCCCACTTTGCAAAGTTGCACGCTGCGAATGGAAATAGTTTATTTAAAGAATCTTGTAAGAAAACTTTTTGCGTGTTTGTTTACAGCTAGTACCGCATCTCGGGGATCTTTTGACAAATCACCAACAGCCTGAAATAAAGCTGACTGGCTCATTAGTTTGCTGTTGGCCAGTTTTCATGCTGGTTTATGAAGTGTTTCCATGGGAGTGCAGTAGCAGATGTTTAGATCAGTATTTTTAGCAGCTTCTTAGAACAGCAACTTAGTGTAAGGGAGAAGGGTTACTGTGTGTGTGTTGTAACCAGATCTCAGAGGACAGAAGGACAGAATTAAGACCACTCTCTCAACACTCTGTTCATCATACTCACACATACTGAAAAATATCTTCAATTCATACCTATCATGAGTGGTCTACACCAGAGGCTAACAAGTAATTGAATTCAGCAGGTACAGTCAGAACATAAAGCCAACATATATTTGCATCAGGAAACATTAAGGCTAGAAAAATAGTCAGCCAGCTTAAGATACAGGATTTGTAAAGGCTTAAAGGGTCCTCAAAAAGTCCTCCAGGATGTCAAAAGGGTCCTTGAAGAAGGTTAAGCCATCCTTCAGTAGTTTCAGGGAGGTCATAAAGAGGTTTCTGTTGTCCTTTAGGGAGTTTCACCATTTCTTTAATATGCCTAGAGGACTGCAAGATCTCCATTGTCCCAGAATTCAGGAGATGTCACACCTCAAAAAAACAAAAAATCAAGTAAAAATAGAGTTTAATGCTAATGAGATCACTGAAAAGAGAAAGGTGCTGGTTGAGGTTTAGGAGGAAGAATGCTTAG